ACCAGTCCCTGGAGGAGGACATCATGCTTGGTAAAGTAGGAGGTCAGCGAAAAAAAGGAAGACCATCAATGAAATGGATTGACACAGTGGCTGCAGCAGTGCGCTAAAACATAGTAACTAACTGTGAAAATGGCACAGGACCGCGCAGTGTTTCATGCTGTTGTTTGTGGGGTCACTATGAGTTGGAACTGACTTGAGGCCACCTAACAACAACAACCCACCTGCAGCCATGAGGCTTTTAGAGGTTTACATTTGGAGGTAATGGTTTGACAACTATCCTCTTCTAGTAAGATAAGACAAATCTACATTACTATGAAGTAGTTTCTGGCAGGCTTTTGTAGTTTGGGTCAGGTTTTTTATGGTTAATACTTGATTTTGTGGATAAGAAAAACCCTGAAATCAAAATAAGATGTCTGTTATTAATTTTCCTACTCAACAGTGAAAATCCTTGCCTAATTCCTGATTTTTGGGACAAAACATCCAATCCGTCACCATTAAATATAAAATTAACATTGGGTTTTTTTTAGATGCCTTTTATCAGGTTGAAGAAGTTCGCTTTTATTCCTAATCTGTTGAGTGTTTTTTATCATGGAAGACTATTGAATTTTGTCAAATGCTCTTCTGCAGCTATTGAGATGATCTTGTGGTTTTTCATGTATTATATATTAGTAGAAGAAATAGACTAGAATATTACATATTAATAGAACAAAGGATTTTCAGATGTTAAACCAACCTTGCATTCTTGGGATGTATTCTCTTGGTCATGTGTATAACCCTGTTTATAAATTGCTGGATTCTGTTTACTAGTATTTTATTTCTCTGTAGTTTTCTTTTCTTGTGGTGTCTTTGTCTGACTTTGGTGTCAGGGTAATACTGGCCTTATTAAATGATTTAGGAATTTTTCTCTCCTTTTTTATCTTTTTGAGGAGTTTAGGAAGCATTGGTGTTAATTCTTCTATAAATGTTTGGTAGAATTCCCCAGTGAAGCCATGTGGTCCAGGACTTTTTGTTGTTAGGAGGTTTTGGATTACTGATTCAATCTCTTCACTTGGATCTGTTGAGATCTGTTGAGATTTTCTGTTTCTTTCTTGAGTCCATTAGGTAGTTTATGTGTTTCTAGGAATTCATCCATTTTATCAAAGTTACCTAATTTGTTGGTGTACGGCTGTTTATAGTATTTTCTTATGATCCTTTCTGTTTTTTGTAGGGTTGATTGTAATGTCCCTGCTTTCATTTTTTTAGATATTTGCATCTTCTCTTTCTTTTTCTTTGTCAGTCTCACTGAAGTTTTGTTGATGTTATTGATCTTTTCAAAAAAACCAATTTCTGGTTTCATTGATTCCATTGTTTTTCTCTTCTCCATTTCATTTATTTCTTTCCTGATCTTTGTTATTTCCTTCTTTCTGGTAAGTTTGGGCTTAGTTTGCTTTTTCTAGTTCCACAAGTTGTAAAGTTAGGTTACTGATTTGAGATCTTTCCTGTATTTTAAAGTAGATGTTTACCACTGTAGCTTTTCCTCTGACCACTGCCTTCTCTGCACCCCATCAGTTTTGGCTATTCTTAGCTGTCTCTTTCCTTAGTTCTCTCTGTTAAACTTCTGGTTGGTCAGTGTAAGTTGTTGCTGTCATTGCACTGTGGGTCTCCTCTTAATCACTGTCCACCAAAATATCCATTGTTTGGACACGGCCCTTAGGCTTGAACTTCCCTATCCTCTCTTCCAAATAACATGAGTTCCCTGTTGAGGATCTCTCTATTCTTATGGCCTGCCTCTCCCTCTCAGCAGAGACTCTGCACCACTGTTCTGGAGCTAGGGTTGGGAACAGTAACCTGCTTCTCTACAAGTGACACTCTGCTTTAGAAGAGGGGCAGCAGGTGGGTGTAGTCACTCCTGGTCTTCTCAGCTTGCCTCTCCTGCCGTGGAACCTCTGCCCTATAAGTGACTGGGGTGATGGTGATTGGGGCCTGATATTCTCAGCCTGCCATACCTGGGGCAGAGTTTCTACCCTATGATTGAGGGTTGGGTGGAGGAAGGGTGTCCCAGATCTTATTGGCTGGAATAGAGCTTCTCCATCATGGACATCTCACGGCCAGCCCCACCTGGGGAGAAAGTACAACTCTAGACTTTGAACAAGGGGGAGAGGGAGCCCTGTCTTCTTGGCTACACCCATGTGGAGTATAGCTTCTGTCACCTGACCTGGGGTGGCTCAAATGCCACAGACTGTCACTGTTCGTTCTTAGATTTAGTAGATTTTCCTGAATAAATGTTTCTCCATTTGTTGTATTCCCTTAGGACAATTTCCCTCTAAAAATGTAAATGGTCGTTTTTTTGTAATTTTCTCCAATTATAGTCCTTTCACCACAGGAAGGACCTGTGGAGCGCCTTGTGCCGTCATTCTGGAACTGCTTCCAAGAGTCCTTACATTTATGTTTCTTATGTGCTTTATAGATCTATAAAGGTCCACACTGAAACATAGGGATTAAATGATGTGTGTGAGATTGGCTTCAGTAATATGTGGATACAGGAGGTGGATAGGGTAGGCTTGTCCAGGTGTTGATGGTTGTTGGGAATATGATGGTTCATTATACCATTCTGTGTACTTTTTTATATATTTGCAATTTTTTGTAATAAAGTTTTAAAATAGAGACTTAAAAGACACATTTAAAAAAAAATCAGCTTGCGCCCCAAGGTGTCAAATGCCTACAGAAACCTTGCAGTTATGAGACACAGTGGAGCAAGCATCAGTAGTGAGTGATACAGACTGTGACACACTACATTGCAGGTGACCCCAAGAGGCCAGCCAGTTCTCAGATCCAGCCGGTTGGTGCCTCATGGGAATGCAAATCCCATTAGGAGGTCCCAGACCTCCTAATATTTCAGGAGAGGCTGGAAATTGGGATTTTCGTATAAAATTAGTTGTTAACTAGATCAAAATTATTTTATACACAGACAATACATATACTGGATGAAATTGGCCTGGAAGCCACCAGTTTTGCAGCCTCCTTATAGGCAAATCATAATTATGATTTGATTACAGAATAGAGTAAATATTATTAACTTTCCCAGAGTAAAAATAAACATTATTTTTTCAACATTATCTTTTTTGGGGACACAATTCAATCCATGACATGTTGCTTTGATAAATTTAAATTCTAAACACTTTCGGTTATTTTTATTATCTTGGTTGCTGTGAGTTGCTATTAGTTGATAATGTTATAGCAGATAGAGGTTGAGAGGTGGAAGAGGTGGGCATGTAACTGCCCCCATTTATAAAGTAGCCTACGACCGCTGGAATGAGAAATACCTGCTTGAAGTTGTAAGGTGACCAGTGGAGGAACTGGAATGGCTAGAAACTATACTGGGAAGAGGGAGAAAGGCAGGTGAGGATGGTACGTCCATCATGACGTGAGTAGGGAGTCAGTACGATGCCTAAAGGTGATCAGTAGTGGTATAACCATGTTATCTACAGTTACAAGTGGTTGCCTTTGGAAGCAGGGCTCAAGGAAGAAAATCTTTTGCTTTCTTATTTTAAGGCTGTCCTGGGTGGCGTAAGTGGTTTGTGACTGGTTGCTAACCTAGTGGTTGGTAGTTCGAACCCACTCAGCAGCTCCACCGAAGAAAATCCTGGTGAACTGCTTCCATTAAGATTACAGCCAAGAAAACCTTATGGGGCAGTTCTCCTCTGTAACACATGGGGTCACCATGAGTCGGGCTGAGTCAGCGGCAGCTAACAACAGCAGCATGTTCTTTTCTAACACTACATTGTGTGTTAGTCTCCTGGGGCTGTCATACAAAATACTACAAAGTGGGTAGCTTTAAAGAACAGAAATATATTTTCTCACAGTTTGGAGTCTGAATTCAGGGCATCGACAGGACTGTGTTCTCTCTGTCAGTTCTAGGGGAAGATCTTCAGCTTCTGTAGGCCCGAGAGTTTCTTGGCGTTCCTTCACTTACAGATAGACCTCTCATGTTGCCTTCCCCCTGTGTGTCTGTTTTCATGTCTGTCCTATTTTATAAAACACCACTTAGAAGGCATTAGGATCAGGACCCATCCTACTTAATTTCACTGATAACATCTGCAGAGAAAACCCCTGTTTTTTCAAACAAGGTCATGTTCACAGATACAGGGGTTAGGACTTCAACATTATCTTTTTTGGGGGACACGATTCAATCCATGACATGTTGCTTTGATAAATTTAAATTCTAAACACTTTCGGTTATTTTTATTATCTTGGTTGCTGTGAGTTGCTATTAGTTGATAATGTCATAACTGCAATGATTTACTGTATATAATGAAGTGAGACAAGGTGACAGTAATTTGCTGTTTTTATTTTAACTTGTATTAATGGAAATTGTGAAACATACACACAAATAGACTAATAATGAGCCCCCACTTCCTATCACACAGCTTCAGTAATTAACAATATGCCAGTCTTGCATCTGCATTCTCCTAGTTTGTTGTTGTTGTTTTTTTAGCCAGAGTATTTTAAATCATCATGTCATTTGACTCATAAATACTTCAGTTTGCATCTCTAACTGATCTCATTAACCCATTGCCGTCAAGTTGATTCCAGCTCGTAGAGACCCTGTAGGGCAGAGTAGAACTGCCACATAGGGTATCTAAGGCTGTAATCTTTACAGAAGCAGACTGCCACGTCTTTCTCCCACAGTGCACATGGTAGGTTCGAACCAGCCAAGCGCTTAACCACTGTGCCCGCAGGGCTGCTTCTCTGTCAAGTACATCTATTTTAATATAACCAACATGCCATTATCACACTTGACAAACAATAATACAGTCTAATGCCCTGGCCATATTCACATTTCTCCAGTTGACTAAAAATTGTCTTTTTATAGTGGTTTGTTCACATCAAGATTCACACAAGATCACTACATTTGGTTATCGTACATTTTGCGTTTTTTTTTTTGCATTGTGTACTTTGTATTGTAATGTGTGTCCTATTTTGTGCTATTTTATAATCTTTGGTTTCTTTCCTCTCCCCAGGCCATGAGTGCAGCCGTGTGCTTCATGATTGATGGTAGGTACACTCTTGTCTCTGAATCCAGCCTGATTAGATAAGCCTTTTTTCTTTACAGTTTGCTAAATTTTGTTCTTAAACGATGACTGTGTTGTCATAAGCAACATGGAGGCTGTAGTAACACTCTCTTCCCCATCTGGGACTTCTGCCATCTTAAATAGCTATTTCTAATATTTTTTAAATCCTAGCTTTTCCACTTGGCCAGCAGCATGACCATGGCGCCTTTCCATGCCTCCCTTTACTGTGGAAGGGGAATAATAATAGTACCTGTCTCCAAGGGGTTTTGATGATTAAATTAATTCAATATTTATAAAGCCCCTAACCAGGACCTGGCCTGTGAGTGCTGTGTGTTGTTAGTTGCCATCAAATTGACTCCAGCTCATGGCAACCCATGTGTGCAGAGCAGAACCGCTCCACAGGGTTTTCAAGGCTGTGAACTTTCCAAAGCAGATCACCAGGCCTATCTTCTGAGGTGCCTTTGGGTGGGTTTGAACTGCCACCCTTTTGGCTAGTAGTTCAGCACTTAACCGTTTGCACCACCCAGGGCCTCCTGAGTGCTGTATAGTGTTTGTTAGATAAATATTTTATCTTCTTAGATTTATCCTGGGGTGGACAGTCAGTTTATAGCCCTCCCACCCCCACACACTTGTGCAGTGTGCTTAAATCTGGTTTTCACAGGAGATAGGCCTTTGACTTTTTTTGTCATCTTATATATAACTAATTTTGACTCTTCTGTTTTGTGGGCTAGTGGGTAAGGAGGATCTGATTGTTTAATTTCTTTTACTTCTCAGATCAGTAACATTTTAATTCGAGCACTTATTAAGTATTGGAAGATAAAGTGAATATTGACCTTTGAAACACAGTATTATAACACTTAATGGTGTTTTTTAAATTGCCCGGTAGCCGCCATACAGCCTACGTTGGATTTTTGCCGAAGACTGGACAGCATTGTTGGGCCTCAGCTCACGGTGCTGGCATCTGACATTTGTGAGCAATTTAACATCAACAAAAGGATATCTGGGTTTGTACTTTGCTTTGCATTTATTTTCACTAATTTAACTGGTTTTAGAAGAATAAGAGTGGTTTTTAATTAAGAATGTGGATGGTATTAACATTCGTGTGTTTTATCTGAATCTTACTGTTGGGTGCCATTGAGTCCATTTTGACTCGTAGTGACCCCATGTGACAAAGTAGAACTGCCCCATAGGGTTTTCTAGGCTGTGATCTTTACGGGAAGGAGCCCTGGTGGCCCAGTGGTTAAGCGTTCAGCTGCTAACTGAAAGGTTAGCAGTTTGAACCCACCAGTGGCTCCACAAGAGAAAAGACCTGGCGATGATCTTTTCAGATTACAGCCTAGAAAACCCTGCGGGGAAGTTCTCCTCTGTCCTTTAGGGTCACTGTAAGAATCAACAGTACACAACAACAACAACAATCTTTATGGGAGCAGATTGCCAGGTCTTTCTAGCGATCAGTAATATGTGGTTAAATACTGTCTGAAAAGGTTCCTGGGGAACTGTACCTGAGTATGCCCCGTGTTGATGATTTGGGCTGGCTCTCTTACAGCATTCATCCCCTCAGTTCTCCACCTGACCAGTGGCATGGATGTGTGGGGCCAGGTGGTATGCTATCTGTGGCTGTGGACTTTGCCTTGTGAGTGCCAGTTAAACATCCCACATAACCAGACCAGGTTGTTAGAGTTAGTGTATTTTCATAAGTTTACATTAGTGCTAACGGGCGTGGTTTTGCTTTGTGGAGACTGGAAGCACTTTTGTTGTGCAGAAAGGCATAAGGTGAAATTAGCTGAGATGTAAACCACTTGGGTGATGGTACTGAACCTGCTGGCCTTAAAGGACACTCAAGATTTAACTCACTTTGGTTCTCTACAACTCTGTGAAAAGTCTTGAACCTCTTTCTGGTTCTCTTTTCTCAGTGTAATAATCTAGAATTACTGGAACAATAAGTGGATAGATGGAATGCACTTTGAGAAATGAAAGCTCTGTCTGTATGGGCTTCCCATGTGTTTGAGAAGTTTCTAAAATGCTGCACGTGTCTATTAGAACTTTGTGTTTCTAGTATTCATGTTGTATGTATATGCTCTTCTATAAGCACCAGCATATAGAGTTCAAAAACAGGCTTAAAATGAAAATACATTTTGATTTTGTATAAGTGTATATGGGTTGTTACTGTTGACAACTTACTTAGTTTTAGAGAAGATTAGGCCAAGAAACAAGAGTGCCAGACCAGCCTATTTGTTGACAGTGCTGCCTGATGATCTAATGTTTTGACCACGAAGCTGCCAGGTTCTCTTTCTTGAAAGAGGCATAAGTGAGTTAACTCTGTTCTGGATCATGCAAATGATGAAATAATGGGTAGAGAGTGACCCCTCAGAAGTTACTGAGTATATTCTGTAGATGTAATGAGTTTCAAGCATCTCACCAACAAATATCCAGAGGTTAAACTTGCTGTTGAGTACCTTCCATTTTGCAGGTAAGGTTAATTCTCCTTGGGATTTTACAGAAGTAATGAGAGGGCCTTGGATATTAATTCTCCTGTCTGTTTTAAAGTAGTTTTCTTTCCAACCTTTTATTATAAAAATTTCCAAACATAGAAGGGTTGAAAAAAAATTAATAGTACAGTGAACACCCACATACTCACTACTTAGATTCTACGGTTAACATTTGCTATACAGGTATTCCCCAACTTAGGACGTATTCGAATTACTATAAACTGTCCTTATGGCCATCTGTTTTTTGTTTTTTTTTGGTACATCTTATCATTAGTAATATGTACTACATACAGTGTTGCCACGCATTATTTGCTGATGTCATCATTCTCAGATGTAATGTTTCTAACCCCCAAAGACAAAGTTCAGATTTATAAAGATACTGGTAATAAAAGGCAATAATAATGAAAACTTTATTTAAAAAAAAAAAAAGGTATTCTACTTATGTCAGAACCAACTTACGACATACGGAGTCAACTTTGACTAAGGGAACCCTGTTGTAAACCTGTATATTTTTATCCCATGTCTGTATATCTTAGAGGACAGGTTGTTTTTGACTGTGAAGTATATAAAGTATCACTAGCCCACTGAAAGAGGGAGTACCCAGAAAACTTGATGCTAAAATAACCTTTACACAGTTTAGGGGCATACTCAAAACCAGGGGTCTTAGAAATGTTATTGTTCTTATCCTTGAAAGCTGACGTTAAGATGGCCCTCCATGCAGCTAAGATTTTACATGCAATGAGTTACTGCTTGCCAAGCAATGAATATCACCTAATTAAAGCATAAAAGCTTTGGCGCAGTGGTTAAGAGCTACAGCTGCTAACCAGAAGGTGGGCAGTTTGAATCTACCAGTTGCTTCTTGGAAACCCTATGGGGCAGTTCTGTTCTGTCCTGTAGGGTCGCTATGAGTCGGAACAGACTCAGCGGCAATGGGTTTGGCTACAGAAGCTAATGTACTTTTCTTCTAGAAATCCTTCTGACCCAAATCAATCCATTCTACATGCCAGTCCTTAGACTTCTCCCTCCAAAAACTCAGATCCCAGAGAAATTAAGTTGACACACGGATAAGGACAGCTGTGAAGGAGGAGAGAAGCCCCCAGCAGCATGCGTCTTGAGGCAGTGTGAGGAGGTGGCGGGTGTTGAGTGGTTGTGGCAGACGTTGAGGGGTGAGGGAATGTGGTGTTAGGCAGCCATCCTGATTCCAGAGGCCAGTTTGACGACCTGTATACCCACCCTGTTTTCTCAACTGCACCCCCACTAGAAAGTACCCAAAAGGCTATGCTCATGGCATGTTCTCCTTTACTAATGTTTAAGTCAGTTTGTCAGCTTCGGCACTGTTGACATTTGGCCCAGTCATTCCTTGCTGTGGAGGCTGCCCTGTGCATGGTAGGATGCTCAGCAGCATCCCTGGCCTCTACCCACTAGATCTAGTAGTACATATCCCCCTTTCCCCAGTGTGACATCAAAAAATGTCCCCAGACGTTGCCAGATGTCCCCTAGGGGGGAAATCACCCCTTGTTGAATACCACTGGTTTAGGGGGGCAGGTGCTTGGAATCTTTCTTCCCATTAGACTCGAGGCCACCATAAGAAGTCTTCTTCAGAGTGTAACAAAAGCCCCGTTTTTGTGTTGTGGCTGCTCCTTGGAGGGCATGGAGCTGGCTTGCCCTTTCAGCAGTCTTGTCCATTTGTGACCCTGTTGTGAGTAAACAGGCACCCCTGCTGTTACCTGTCGGAAGAGCCCAGTGCCCTCTCATTCCTCAGGGTGGGGTGGATTGACCAGGTAGCAGCAGTGTGCCAGTTAGTGAGGAAGGTTGCTTCCTGAAACAGGTGTTTAAATTTGTTTTCATGAGAAACACTGCTATGAGCAGAAGCTCCTTCTACAAGACACAAGAATGTATCTGAATATGTGAGTTTTCCCCTCCTCACAGTAGAGCCCCCCTCTCAGCCACAGAACAGCCCCTGCCTGGTGAAGTTCCTGTCCCTCGCCCAGGCAGCATCCGCTGAGCTTCCCCGGGCAGCGTCTGGCTTGCCCCTACTGGGCACTTGCCTTTCCTTGTCTTTGCTCAGGGCCTGCAGCCGGGGTTCTACTCCCCACAGATTTGTCCCTTAGTTAAAACAGTGCAACATGTTGGGGGTCTGGGGAGTGAGAGTAGCAACCATTATCCATAAATTGCCTGAGTCTTTGCTGATCCAGTTGGCTAGTCTCTGATGAAAAGGAGCCCTGGTGGCACAACGGTTAAGTGCTCAGCTGTTAACTGAAAGGTTGGCGGATCGAACCTACCCAGCCGCTCCTCCAGAGAAAGACCTGGTGATCTGCTCCCATAAAGATTACAGCCTAGGAAACCCTGGGGGCAGTTCTGCTCTGTCAGGTGGGGTTGCTGTGAGTTGAAAATCGATTTGACCACGCCTAGCAACAACAAGTCTCTGAAGAAGAAACTCCAAAGTTGTTCTCTGGCCCCAGCACATGGCAGGTTTATTTCCTTGACTTCACTTTCTTACTGTTCCACCTGCAGTGAACCTGTGACGGTGCAGGTGCAGGACATTGTCAAGGGCTGGGCTTGTGGGTCCCCTGGGACCCATGTGCATCTGGAAGTTCTAGCCAGATTGCCAGGAATGTTAGCTCGTAGAGGCCTAAAAATCACCAAGTCCCTTTTAAATGTAAAAACCCAAGATTTAAGGAGCAGAGGAAGTTTATTAAAAAACAAAAAACTATCTGCAGTGACCTTAGTTGTACAGTTTAACAAGGATATAAAGTTTAAATCCATATTTGCCTTTAATTTAATAAACATCTTAACTCCGAAAGCAACACAGATGCAACACAGATATTATTTTCTTCAAAAAATCATAGCCCAAAAAAAAAAAAAAAATCATAGCAAGGAGGCGGGGCCAAGATGGCAGAGTAGTCAGATGCTTCCGGTGGACCCTCTTACAACAAAGACCCCCAAAAACAAGTGATTCCATAATATATGGCAATCTGGGAGCTCTGAACATCAAAGGCAGAGTTGAGGAACCAGACGGAGTGGCAGGGGGAGGGAGAGACGGTTCAGAAGCAGCGAGGAGTTGCCAGATCTGACCCCATGAAAGGCTGAGCCCTTCAGGCCTGAGCAGCTCGTGAGTGAACGGTGAGGCAGGCAAGCAGCCGTGCTCCGGAGGCGCGTTTTCCGCACCTGGAGAGGCCCAGCCGCTGAGAGTCTACACGGCCACCCAGAACCAGTGAGAAGCAGCCTTTGATCCGGCAAAAGATAAGTAATTGTATATGGCCTACCGCGCAGATCAAAAACAACCCCCCTTAGAGAAAAACGTCTCTCCCATTTACCTCCCTGCTCCCTGCTCTGCGCTGCATCCCGGACAGGCTTCAGCAATTGCCGAGTCCTGTGAGCCAGAAGTAGGATCCATCACATGCCTGGAGCCATTCTCCCTGCCTTGGAGAGTAAACAAATTAACAAACGGGAAAAAATAAACTGTCAGCTCTCCTAAGCCAGGAACCTGGGGTAGGCAAAGCTCCTTTGCCTAG